CAGAGATGAGAGTGAGTCAGTATTAATTTTCTCTGCCATTATCGAAGTCAGTGTAGAGCAAACATGAGTAAAAGAAAACCTTGCGTGGTCAATGAATTATGGATTTCTACCATGACCTCTCCCTCACACCAGGGAGCAGCAGCAGCACAGGAAAAGGAGGCAGGAACACTCCCCTCTGCCAGGTGGCAGCTTCCTCAGGTTTTGATGATTAAAGGGAAAGGGAGAAACGTTTGTTTGTTGTGTATTCCCATAAGAAGCATCTCCTGTGGTAAGGACACCCACATTAATACATGATACAGAGGGGTGGAAATGCTGGTTACATCAACCAAATTTTGAAATAGCCTTGGCTCTGTGTTTTGTATGGACAAGGCACGCTCCAAGTCATCCAAAACTTGCAGACAATTGAAGGCTGGAAGAACGGAGGGAACAACCCTGCACTTGCACATTTAATTGGGGGAATGAGTAGAACTGAAAATGAATACTGATATACTCTTTTTTCAGGCACATTCTTCTTTATCTGGGTCCCAAAAAAAACATCAAGGAACGTTTGGTTAGGAAACTAGGCCAGAACTCAAGCAGTTTTTCAGTCTGCAGTAGGTGCAGGAACAGATTTGATCAAATTGCTCCTTTTGGAACATTACATAGCACATCTTTCACTTTTGTCAGCTGCTTGTATTATAATCAGTTTGCCTAAGGATTATCTTTTAGCAGGTATAATGTCTCGCAAAGTGAGGCTTCCCCCTCCCCCCCAGGTATGTTTGCATCCCCCAGTGTTGCAATGTCAAGGCTAGCAATGTTGCATCAAGGCTAGCAATGTCGTCTAGATTAAAGTGGAGATAAGAAAAGAGGCTTGAAAAGATGCAAGTCTATAATTGCAAATTATAAACAGTCTCTAATGAAGGGAAACATTCCCTTGTGGGTAGATTATTGCCTGTGATCTTGCAGTTGCATTTCCTACACTTTTCAGAAGCATTTGTCACTGATCACCATCAGTACATTGGACTGGTCTAATTCAGCACAAAAATACACCTATTTCATGGCAGACATAATAAGCAATCCTGTACATTTTCATTATCCAAGTGAGTTAAAAATAACTATTTTTTTTTCCCAGAAAGGTTCATTGCAGTTCATTTACCTTAAGCAACACTAATTTTACCATGGCAGGCAAGGACTGCACTCCCTTGTCACCAGGGAGTGCCTGGTGCCCGCCTGGTTCCCGCTCTGAAGTCTTGCTGACTGATTAGCATGAGGTGACTTCAGCAAGTCTCTGAGGTTTTACTAAATTTCAAATATATTCCTATTTCCTTGACCAAGGGATTAGCTCATTCTCTGGAGGTTTCCAATTTTAGATGGCTCTGAAACACTTCTGAAATGTTCTCCAAGAAAAGCAGGGCTGTTGCACTGAGAGGGAAGTTTCAAGGTGCACGGAGCACCGCTGGGCTGAGCAACACCTGTGATCCCACGTGGCACACAACATGCCAAGGTAGGGTGAGCATTGCTTTGGAATGAACTGCAGCCAACTTCATTCTGCCAAAGTAAAGCTACCTCAAAGAGCACCTGGAATGCTTTGCTGCTGTATAGTATCTGTCTGTCCAATAAATCAAGCAGATCTTTATAGGATCCCCTCTGCACACCTGCTATGGGCTGGAAGCAGCTTTCCATGTCAAATCACGTAACTGGAAATTGTGAAGTGTGAGAACACCTCAAAACCTTCAGCACTTTCTGTTACTAACTAAAGGAAGTCTCTTCTGATTAAAGAATTGAATTGGAAGGGCAGATTCTTATGACATCCAAGGTCTCTCAGCCAAATAATAATCAGGCCTAAGAATTCCATTCCAGTTTTCACAGGTAATCTAAGGAGGTTATCCAAATTGTACTTGTACACAAAGATTGAGCATTTGGGTGCATGAACTCAGAAGAGGGAAAGAATGATAAACAGGTTTACCTTTGGTTATTTAGACCTGAAATCTTTGGTCCTCCTGGGGAAGAGTGAAACGATTCCCCAGTATTAGTCTACAAAAACATGATTTAAAATTGCAGCCAGAACATGAAATCAAATGGAGGCACATGAAAGAGCAATTAGAATTTTCTTAGTTTATTTTCAACACACATCATGCCCCTGAATCCCTTCTTTGGGGATCAGAAGTATCAAAATAGAGTGAGAGGCACTTCTTCCACTATTCCTTTCCTGGTTGAAACCAGGAAACACTGGAAGTCTCATAGGAAAGACCTTTTCCATCAGCAAACCTTTAACCATGCTTCGAATAAGTGGAGAGTTTTGGGTAATGATCTGTCCCTTGGTCAGATTTCCCCAGCGGCCATTGAACTCCACTGTTTCTGATCACTGCTGAATACCTACAACTTATTTTTGCTTTCATCTAGGTGAGCATTTATTCCTTTTTCTCTAAACTTCTCAGAAAGCACAATGTTCAGAAATGCTTGAGAAGCTGAGGATCCTGACACTCCTGAAAATGGGACCTAGGTGTTTGATAATTGATTTTTTGAAATGAAAACCTGAGGCACTCAAAGATTAGCTTTTAAAGGTTTTTATCTCCTCTTTATGCAGATCAGTGCCTGGTGTGGTTTTCAGAAAATAGCCAGGTAACTATGCTCCTTCAGAAATGTTTTTGTTGCTGGTGAGTTTGTTCTAAAGTCATAAGGAAATCTTCTGGAAAGTTATTTATATCAATAGCTATCACACCACTGAAGTCATCTGATCTAATCATCCCCAGAGAGCCGCAACAATGGGAATTATAAATAGCGAAAATATCCTGGATATCGTCTCCACTATTTTAAAAACACTGGTCATAGAGAACAGTAACTAAGAAGAAATCTCAGGACATAATGTCTCAGACTTCATGCACATTTGTCACGGCCAACTGTTCTTCCCGAGGGCCAGGTACTTATTTCTGAGCTAAACCCATGGAATGACACAAAGGTGTCCCAATAGTCCGTATATTCTCCTCCTGCCTCCTGGTTTCTCTGCCATCATATTATCCATAGGAGCAGCTAAGGGGAAAACAGAGACTGTATTGATAGATGGCCTGGAAATGCAATAGATTAGGCAAGGTAGCAAGAAGCACTGTCCTAGCTCCCAAATAAAAGGAAGATTGTGTTCAAGTAGTTGTTTATTTAGAGTCCATTTGTAGATTAATTACATTTTGCCATCTTCTTCATTGCAACTTAAGGGTGTCCAGAACAGACTGACCTCCACAAGGTCTCTATGTTTGTTTTATGACCTAGTTCCCTACAGAGTTCAAATCTGAAGTGCTTTATATAGTACAGTATGCTTTATTTCAATAATATATAAGCATGGTTTTAATTCTTTAGTGAAATGACACATCCCCTCTCCAATGACTACTGCCTGAGAAAAGCTGGGATATCTTAGTCTGTACAGGTTTGTTTGGTTCTTATTTATTTATTTATTTTGAAGTTTTATAGAAAATCATTCAGCCACCTTTGAAACAAGCTTAGTGAAGGATGGTTTTGCCAAAATTCACATTTTTCATCTGTTTTCTGAGGAGCCGTAACGATTTGTAAGAGGAGCTTGAAATCTGGCAGCGAGATAACCTTCAAGTTCGAATGGTATCTTTGTCCCCAGGAAAACCCCTTCCTGATCAGCTGGCTTAAGAGTTACAGCAAAATCCCAGTTGGCATTCAAAAGGCAGAAAGGGTTCCATTTTGATTTTCTGAGTGTTCCAAGAGGAACACGCAAGCCCTGAGGGCTGCTGAGCCTCTTGTCCCGAGCGGGTACTGCACATCTGAAGGCACAGCTCAGGGCAGGTTTATCTTGAACAGAGTTCTTGTTTTCTCACAGCACAACTATGACATCAACAAGAAAGGTATAAAAGAAAAAGCTGACAAGAAAGAAAAAGCTAATTAGAAATTAGTGGGTATTAAAGACTCATAACGTTATTAGACACCATTAGAGCCTTTTAAACTCAGCCTGTGTAATAATTTCCCTAGAATTTAAGGGCTTGTTCTCCAATTACTGTATCTGAGCTCCATTAATATCAGTGGAGTTACATTAGTTTGCCCTGACTAATAGTCTTTAGTTAAGCAGCCAAGCAAACAAAATCACTTTATTAGCTGTGCTTTTAAAGTCATTCTCAAATATCAACTGAAAGGCTTCTTCAGTACAAAAAACAAACCCCAAACACAAGACCCCAATGCAGGGCACAGCCCTGAACCGGCTGCACATTCCAGATCGCGGGTCAACAGGAGTTTCACAAGGATACCCTCGGTCACTGCTTCCTCACAGAGATCTCAGAGGGAGGGGAAAAAAGGGTTTGAAAAACATTCCAGATTTCAGCAGAGTTTTTGTAGCTGTGCAGACGCAGCAGTTGCTGAAATGTCCGGAGGGACAGCCTTAGCAAGTCTGTGACCTTCTGTGACAAACCGGACCGTGGAATTTCAGAAGGGATTTAGTCGGGATTGTTAAACATGTGCCAAAAAGAGAACTGCTTCTTGGACTTTTTCAATCAAGTAGCACTATATTTGGACTGGAAACAGCCCGTGGATGAGCAGGAATAACCATTAGAAGGCAAGTGAAAAGTTTCAAGCAGACACTACAGTCAAGGAAGAAACAACTTGAACATATCTGGGCAAGTTTCCATACTGACCGAAGCAACACTTTTTCCCATGACATCAGATTCCAAACAAACAATATATTATAGTCCATATGTTGATTAAGGAAAACCCAAGCAGTGCAGAGGCATGCACCAGCCCTCTGAGCACCGACTGAGCAAGAGCTGGATCGCTTGCAAGCCATGGGAGTTAACCAAACAAATAGAAAGCCCCAAGTTTTCAGGATAAGGCGCCTGGGTAAGACTTCTCAGCAAGATGAGGTTGTGAACGCCGAGGTAAGACCAGAAGCAAACTGCCTAGATCAAAGTTGTGCAGCCTGACAGATGACAGGGACAGTGAGGGGGCAGTGCTTTGAATGTGCAGCAGTCGTGGGGAGGGGATAATGTGCTCAGAGAACTGAAGTTCTCTACCTGCCTGAAGTCGTGCGGCGTTTGCATGACAAGCCTGGACTGCAGAGCGGTTTGCAGTCAGAGTGCAGAAGGGTTTTTGGCAGGTTAAACAAGTTCCCAGTAAGATGATGCTGAGGACAAACATGCAAGAGAAATATATAAACGCTGTTTTCACAAGAATAGTGCTGTTTTCTCAGAACTGGCTGTATTTTAGGGAGGAACGCTCCAGTGCAGTCGTCCTGGGATGCCAATACAATCCATCGAGCACAGTCAGTAAATCACACCACTTACCAACCTAAAATGACATGGAACATTTTAAAACTCCAAACAAAAATAAAACCCTGTTCTGCAGGAAAGAGGTACTTGCTAAGCATAGCTTATTGATGCTGCTTACCAAAGAATTGGGAATTTAACTCTTACTTTAAAATGGCCTGATAACAGTAATACTGCACACAGCTGAATTCCCTGTGCCATTTTATCAGACCCTGAATTATCTGATCCGTTGATCCCGTGTAATGAGAAACAGGAGGCCACCTTTGATCTTTCTCACAGAATTTAATAAGTCAAAATTAGAAAGGAGCCCTGCCAAATGAGGACAAATTTGACTAGGAGGGTAAACCAGGCAAGTTGCTAAATTTTAATTGTGTTTTAACAAAATGATCCAAGCTCATAGGTTGAATAGCCACAACAAACCAGGAAATAAAATGTTGCATTATTGTCACTGTAAGATTAAAGCAGTAGAATGTATGTTTGTAGAGGTATTGAGGGAAAAGAGTATTTCTTTTGTTTGTACAGTACTGAACACATTCACAAAAACAACAAGAGATACCTTTGTCCTTAGTCAGACTTCAGAAAATGCAATTCACTTAGAGATGTTTCCTGTTTTAAATGATGGATATGTTTAAAAGAGTTGTTTTCTAGTTTTGTACATCTGTTTCTATTCCCTTATACTGTTTCCAAATACTTCAGTTAAGGAATGACTTTTGCCAGTGTCAAACTAACACTGAGTGAAAATCTCAGCTATAAAAACGCCCCATCTCTGTAAACAAATGTGGCAACCACAATTCTTCACCATTCAATTTGGATCTCTGCAGCCGTTTCCTTCAAGATACATTCTTGTCTATAGAGATATTCAGGTAACAGCAGATTAAATTAATCCCAAGTACTGTCAAGAAAAGAGGCACCAAAATGTGTTGCTCCAAAGTAACAGGAACTGCCCTGAGAGCTGCCACAGCAAGCTGGGATCTGTCAAGAAGATCCTCAAGATCCTTAGAAACTAATGATTAGCTCCCACAGCTTCCTTGTACATGTGAATGCTTCTTCAAAACTCCAAACAAACAAAACAAGCAATAACACTGGGTGTTTAACAGCTTACCTTAAGATATAGTTAACAGCAACCTGGCTTTCGCTCCTCACACCCATCCAGAAGGTTCATGAAATTCTAGAAGGAGAAAAAAAAAGTAGACTAATCCTTAGGAAGTCATTTATGTTAAGATGAGGACAACAAATAGGGGTAGTCTGGCAATTATCAGGCACCATAGTTATCTTTCAGCCCTTGCACTTGATTTTAAGTGGAGGCTGTGCATTCCTTGCAGAAGGAAGAAGGGAGTGCAGCAGAACACAACTGGGAAGAGGCGTTCTGAACCTGATTACAGGCACTTGTGTGCAAGACTAAGAGGTCAGTTATGTTTCCAACAGCACTACACTTCTGGTCTTCCGTGCTTAATTCCTAATGTACAGGCAAAAGGTGCAAAGGTAGAGACAGACATGGAGCAGTGTAAGATTGCACCTACTGCATTGCAGGGAGGGGCACTGCCCTTCCATTGGACCCATTCTATAGGGAAAAACTACCTTTGCAGGCCTTTGAGGTTATGATTAAATAACTAGGATCTTGATATAAAGCACTGATCACTACTGAAAACACTTTGTAGGAGCTTTCTTTATGTTCTTGTTCCAAACTCAGGCAAGTAGGATCTGCCTATTTAACAGTGCATTGTTTAGATCATAGCAAGACTATTTTTCATTATTAGCAGCGCAACGTTATTAATCAGCATTAATTGGCACCCAGTATCTGTTTCATTGGATGCATGTGAAGCAACATCTCTGTGATTTGTTTAGCTTTTAGTAGTCAGGCCACCAGCATCTGAAATCCTTTCAGCTACACAGATCATAGTTTCCACATTTTACCCAACTGTTCTGTGAAACTTTCGTCAGCGTGACATGCCAGCATGTTTTTAATAGAAAAACCAGACATTTTTGTGTGTAGTTTCTTGGTATACTTTATGCATATGATTGCTTTTAACATAATATTTGTTTTAGTATATGAAAAGCAATTGAATGGCATAGTAGATTATCAGGAAGCAGTGGGCAAAAACATATTCTGCTGGACTGACCCAGCTGTTGAACATGTCTTTTTTCAAAAGCCCTAAACCCATGTTAAGTGCTACATCTTATTTTTCGTGCACCTCAGCAGTTCCTCGTTCTGGCTGGAAGTGTGAGCTGGGAAATGACTGTTCTTGCAGTATCCAGAGTTTGGCCATAGCCAAGAAGTCCTGGAATTGTGACAGTGTATTCTTTGGGGTGCATTCAATATTAAACTAAGTTTCCAAATGTTTCTTGGCTCTCCAGCCATTAACTGGACCTTGAAGTTCCCAGTTGTATTCAGTGGTGGGGGGCTAACCCTGCCATCTGTTTTGACAAAGGTTTTCCTTGTCAAAGCTGTGCATTGCCTCTGCACAGCTGAGAGAACATGAGGCATGTTAGGAGAAGGTTAAGTTCTCTTTCTGAACCACCAAGAATTCTCTGAGCCCTCGGAAATCTCATCAGAGCACAGCTAAGCAGCTAATTGTTAATCTGTTTGTGATGGATTTTAGTTTGCCTTGGGCTTCAGGTCTTAAAATCTTTCTAGATCCCTATCTCTTGTTCTCTGAGCATCTGCCTACTCTTCGTTCCTTTAGGTCAGAAATCTTTACTGAGTGGAAAATCATAGCTGCAGGCATTCTGGGGGGAAAAAAATAAATTAAAAGGCAGGATCGCTTCTACTTGTGTCTTCTGCATTTTCCTCCATCCTGAACAGTCCCAGCTCTTAGTGGACCCATGAGAATCAAAGGAGCTTGATGAGCGTTGCCAGTATTGATATTATTAAAACAAAGAAAGAGTCCAGAAAAAAAAGCAGCAATGAAAAGCTACAGTTCACCTTGACTTTTCAAGTGAGCTTTCCTAATTTCTGTGGAAAATATGTACTAACCAGACACAACTGGTCTTGCACAAATCCTCTCACAAGCATTTAAGATACCGCTGCAAGATGCACCAGTTGTGTCTGTGTCATCCTGTGCTCTGTGAAGAATTAACAGTTTCCAGATGTTGGCTCGGAGGGTGCTGACACAACTGCACAATTATAGTATCACACAACAACATTAGGAGAAGGATCAGGAGCACAGGAGAACTTTACAGCCTTTGGAAGCTGCAGTGACAAGAAGGACAAAAGCCGGTGCTGTCATAACTTCACTTGCTCAGCAGCCCTGCCTTGGGCCTCGGCCAGATCACACTCGCACTGCAGCACCAGAGAGGCAGCAAGCTGGGAATTCACTGCTTCATTGCTAGCATTAGTTATCATTTCTGAAATGCTACACAGCCACTTAATACCATGATTAGTAGACAGATCTTGTTGGAATCTGTACAGTAGTGTAATATTAAACGCTGAAATTCATCTTCTCTTTCAATGTATTTAAACACATCAGTTCCATTCCTGAAATGCACAGTTCTTCATACTCGCCTTTCCTGTTTGCCCTCACTTACAAAACCACACTGAGAGAAGAGAAAAAGAATGTAAGAAAATTTAAAAACTGGTCATATCACTCATTTTTTAACCATTGTCAGATTAAGTGATAAATCTGTCATTACGAAAATGAAAGAGGGTCAAAATACTACTGACTAACAACAGTAGTATTTTAAGACTTGAGACAGACCTAAAGAGGATTAATTCAAATTTCTCCTAGCATATCTGAAAATTTGATATTTTTCAGAGATGTCATCTTAAATATAAAGAGGAACATTAGGAGTTCTGCACACATCCCATTTAGAAACTATTCCTTCATCTATGAAAGCAGAGACAACAACTCTGTTGATGTAAATGACAATAAAAGCAGCCGCTGATTTGTGGGTTTATTTGTATTTTAAAAGGTGACCATGTAACAACCAGTAAAGAGAAGAGAAGAGGATGGAAGCCCAGGGATAGGAACCATAAAACATTTAAAGGGCAAAGCTGAGAAGGGATATTATTTGATCCATTTGAGTCCATCTGACATTTTTATATCTACATTTAACTAACAGGTTGTTAATATCCACGCAAATGTAAGCACGGGAATTTTGAGCCGAGATGTCTTGTTCAAAGTAATAAAACCTTTATTCACACTCTGCTTGTACATCAAACATTTCATAACTTGGCAGTCCAACTGCACAGAGCGGAATCAGTCAGCATCTGTTCCCAAAATTCTTGCACTGCTATGGAAAATAGCAATTATCATTAAAGATTTTTTCCTCGGAGAAACTTGGCTGCATAAGAGGGGAAAAATCAGATAGCAAGCTGCGTGTGATAGGGGCTTTTAATTTCCCCTTTTTGGCTTCTAAGTAGAAGAGACTCCTTGCAACTGAAGTCCTTCTGCAGATTATGACTTCCTAAAGAGCCACAGGAGGATTTACTCGTCCAAGTTCTCTTAATTCAGTCCTGCCCCCCATTCTGAAACATTCTTAAATGCTGAGATCAGCAGATAGCAAGAACACATGTCAGAAGAGACATGTTCTTTTTCATTCAGGAGAAGATACAAGAGATCACTCTTTGCAGTTTCTCAGAAAGTCTCAGCTTCCCACTTAAAACCAAGGTTCCTGCAACTGAGTTTCTTTGTGCAGACTGTGCTTTATCATGTACTATAAAACAGAACATAATAGAAAATAAAGTGGAACAGAATACTAACCAGAATAGTATTTTTAACACATTTTGCCATTTTCTTGTCAAATTTAAGAAGAAAACTTGTTTTTGAGATTTTTTTTTTTTTTAATAAAATTATCCCAAACAGAATTATGCCTTCCCAATTTCAAATCCATTTGTTACATGGCTTTAAGATTTTAAAGAGTATTTCTATGAGGTTGCAGTTTAGGTATGACTGAAGTTGTGATTCTAACAATAGATGCTCGTAAGCCTAATAATGTCAGTGTTCCAAATATACGCACTGATTAAATCTTCAAAAGTGGTTTCACTGACTTTGAGGCCCTCATAGTTCTGATTTTCATAGCTTTTTTTATTCTATAAACAACACTATGGATGTGGTGTAGTAGTGAGACTCATTTTGAACTGGGCTTAAACTGCTTAAAGCTTCTTTTACATCTTTCCCATGCTAAGGGAAGGATCCCACAGTACCTTAATCTCATACAGCTGAATGGTCTGTTGGGAAAGTCCCAGTGTTTTCAGCGGCAAGTGCCATTTTAATATAGTATTTTCTTAAAATTAAACATTATTCCTTAAGGTCTTTAGCAAAATAAGCAAATATGTGAGTATAAAATACATTCTCTATATGCACAGACTTATTTCAACACAGTGCTACCAGCAATAATTCAAAGAAAAGGATATGCAAGGCAGAAGCTGATAGGAGACATAGCCCAGGCTTCAGGGTGAGTGGCTGAATCAACAACATGACTAATGGTGTGAAATCTCAGCTGAGAACACATCTTTGCGAAGTGCCACTGTAAAAATGACTGGTGAGAGCAGGAAAACTGATGATTCACTTTGTCAAAAGCGTCTCTGAATGTAAATGCAAGCAAAGAGTATGTTCAGCAGATCCAAAAATCAAATTGGTTGTTTGGGCTCAGAGCAGTCGCTGCCCCTGGATCAGGCTGTGGGCTGTGTGTGCCCTTGGTGAGCTCCTCTTGCCACTACTCCAAAATATGCTGTGTGTGACTGTGGTCGTGGCCATTTAGTGCAGCAAATATTACTCAAGGTCAAACACTTCAAAGGAGTGTGGAGACAGCCACGGCTATCAGAAAAGTCTGGTTTTAATTACAGAACTGCTCAAATAACTAACATCTACATCGGATTACTCTGGGTCCATGACACGCATCTTAATATTTCTTTAAGTGATGAGCTGTGTTTAACAAACTGAGCTTATCATCCGTGATTTCAGTTTTACTTGTAACCACTCTTGAAAGTTTAATTACTGCTGCCGCTTGTATATGCATTTCCTCTGTGTTAAATGCTAAATAAAACTGATTCGCTTCAGACAATTCCCGGGACTTTAAAAATTAAGAGCCTCTTCCACTTTGCAGTCTAAAATGGCTTTAAGTCCCCATGAATTTGTTGGTGTGTCAATGTTATCACTTGAATAACCTCTTCTAACTAGCATTTACCTTCTGTCATGTAATATGTATGACACATTACCTGTCTTCTAC